GCAGGTTCAGCGGGAAAATGGCTGTTTCCAGCCAAGTTTCCCTCACCACCTCTTCATTTCCCCACCCTCTGGCCTGAGTCACATTCAGGCCAGTTTGGCCTGTATCTGATCATAGCCTCGGCCACATTCGTGGTCGTGGCTTTTTCTTTTTCCTTTTCTCCCTTCTACCTCTGCCGTCCCCTGAAAGCGGGGAGGACAGTTGTCAGGTTGGGAGAGGTAGGTCCTCCCCCTCCCATCCTCCCGTTTCTCCAACCTCCTTCCTTTTTCCAGCCAGTTCCCACAACCCCATTCCCACTCGCACGTCGTGAGCCGCGAGATCTTGAATCTCGCGGCCACAAATATTTGTGGCTTCGTGGGTGGGGAGCTGCGTTTGATCCCAAACAGCCTGAAAAAGGCTGTTCTTTTCATTTTTGTTTTCACAAGGCAGTTGCCTCGTTTCATTTTTTATTTTTTTATTTTTTTTTTTACAGTTTTTCATGAGGCAGATTGCCTCGTTTCTGCCCCTTTTCCCGTTTTCCTCCATATTCTGCTGTCTAATGGCCACGAAATGGGGAAGGTAAAAGAAAAACTAAAAAGAAAACAACAAGAAGCTTACCTGAAGTTGAGTCTGCTGCCCGTTTCTTCGAATGAACCGGCGCCGACCCTGAATTCGATTGAGGGGACAGGAAAGACAACATGTGGGGGTGTATATTTCCATGTTCTAGCGGAAGATTCATTCCATTTTGCTCATCGTGTCGTTGGAGTCTTCGACGAGGGGCCAACCAGGTAAGTAGGTAGGTAGGTAGGTACCCTTCCCCTCTCTCTCTCTCTCTCTCTCTCTCTCTCTCTTATGTACCCCGCCATATTTAGGGGTAGATTCGTGCGATTTTGTTCGCACACTCCCTTAGGCCGACTATCGAGGCTACAACCTCCTGATGAGTCGGTGAAACTCCGACGAAACAGTCTCGGTACAGCCCGTTCGTTTTCGACGAACGGGCATTTCTCCATTAGCTCGTAAAAAAAGAATCTAAAAAAAAAAGAATCTAAAAAAAAAAAAATCTAAAAAAAAACAAAATCTAAGGAAGAATCTAAAAAAATAAAGAATCTAAAAAATATAAAAAGAAAATTGAAACCAAATTGCGGCTGCTCATTTTCGACAGGCGCCTCTCGTTTCCTTTGGGGACTGTAAGTCCCCATCTTCCTCCCACAGCGCTATCTGACGCTTTTTTTTTTTTTTTGCAAATAATAAAACCGTTGGTTTATGTCAACGGTTACTGGTTATGTGCCCTCAGGCACATCTTCGGCCGCCATGTGGCGCTGTTTTCTTTTTTATTTATTTATTTATTTATTTTTATTATTTATTTTTATTTTTATATATTTTTTTCTTTACTTGATTTATACGTGTCATCCTTGTGCAGCGGCCATGCAGTGTCTGCGCGGTCGTTTTCAACCGTGAGATCTCGAGATCTCGCGGTCGAAATTGACCGCGCCCCCAACCCCAACGGCCAGCTCCAAAAAGGGGCTAGCCCAGTCGGGCGCGTGCGTTCGGGCTTTATCCTAGTATCTGCTGGGCGAAAGTCTTGCGTAGTAACCTACTGGGCTAGCTCCTATTATATGAGCTAGATCTGCACCTCTTGTATATGTAGAGATGCAACTCCCAGTAGGCCCAGCCTACAGTCAGCAGGCCCAACCTGCCTTTCCCACCAGGGTTCTAAAATCTTTTAGTCTCTCAGTTAGCGGTCAGGTCTGAATAAACTTTTGGCAACGTGAATCTCATCAAGTCCTTCAACTCCACGAAAAAGTCGGACGATGTTCGACGTTGAAAACCCCCGGCAAATACCCTTGTCAGGGTATTTGTCCCGACAACGCTTACTCAGGTTCGAGCCTTCCTAGGGCTGGCGTCCTACTACCCGCATTTCATCCAGGGGTTCGCTGACGTGGCGAAGCCTCTAACGAATCTATTGAAGAAAGAAGAGCAGTTGATCTTGACATTGGAATGTGAGCAGGCTTTTCGGGCGCTCAAAAAGACCCTGACAACGGCGCCCATCCTGGCCAGACCTGATCCGACCAAACCGTTCGCCCTGCACACGGATTGGCAGCCGCAGGCGATGTCAGCAGTCCTGACTCAACAGGGAGCAGATGGCAAGGAGCGAGTCATCAAATACGCATCGAAGACCCTGAGCCAAGTGCAGTCCAACTACGAAGCGTGCAAAGGTGAATGTTTGGCGGTGGTGTGGGGGATTTAGCATTTCCGACCGTACCTCTACGGCCATAAATCCGTGCTCGTGACGGATCATCAGCCATTGTTGTCGTTGCGCAACAACATAAATTACACGGGAACACTGGGGAGGTGGGCGGTGCGTCTGCAGGACTACGACTTCGACATCCGTCACCGCGCCACTCGGCAACACGGAAATGCAGATGGTTTGACGTGCCTCCAGCTGCCCAACGAGTGTCCCGCCCACGAGCGACTCATTCCGTGGAAGCCGGAGCCAGCGTCGACGGAACCACGCTACGGGGAACTGCACGTGCTGCGCCAGAACACCGCATAAATCCGAAATGGAGATCTCGCCAGAGATGGCAGCTGCCGCCTCCTCGCCTTCGTCTGGATCTCCTACTCACTTTTCTATTCCCAACTCCCCCTCCCCCTCTGGGTCACATCTGAATCCTTGTTTCTTCTGCACCTTACTTATGATCACGGATCGGGAAGGGTCACATCCGGGAGGGCCTAGTTTTCTTCGTGGGTACAATGTAGCCAGTGTAGAATCGTTCGGTCCCACGGACACTGCATTAGATACCGGAGTGAAAAGAAATGGGTCTGTCCCAACTCTAGAATGGACCACGTCCCTACCGAGAAACGGTATCTAGATGCTCGGACGACCGACGGATTTTTGCCAAGTGTCCGCCGTGTGGAAGTCTGGACGGATCTTCTGTTACTGAGAAGACTTATAGGGCGATCCGCTGGCAGAACTTACTAAAGCCGAACGACGGCACTCACGGAATGGGCGCATGGTTACCGTTGGCAGGAATCGACCTTACAAAAACGAAAGGACGATGATGACGGAGGGTCTAGCTGGATGACGGTTTCGCACCCTCTCGCGAGGTTCGATTGGACCCGAGCAGCCCATGAAGTATACGGAAAAAACCATCGAAAAGAATGGATGGTACTGGTCGCCGTGGTCGGGAATTCGGGAAGATGTGAAATACATCGTCCAGAATTGCCCGGCCTGTGCGGCTGACAAGGCGCCAATACAGATGGCGCGGACAATGGTGCCCACTCGAGTAGAACGCCCCTTTCAGTGGGTCAGTATCGATACGACGGACATCAACGTGCCGAAAGGTCCCGTCGATTAAGGGGAGCTCAACGTTCTTTTAGTGGCCGTTGATCACTTTTCCAAGTGGATCGAGGCCTATCCAATGACTAGTCGTAACTCAGTGGAAGTAGCCTGGTATATAAATCGCTTTTTGTGCATGCACCTAGACGTAGAAGAGGTACACATGGATAACGGGTCTGAATTTCAAGGCGAAGTAGAACGTCACTTAGTAAGGGCCGACGTCAAGATTTTATACTCACCGGGACATTGGCCTCAAGCCAATGGCCTAGTAGAGAACGCCAATCGACTAATTAAGACCGCTCTCAGACGAAACATCACGGCTGGGGACACCCGGCCGTGGCCTGTCATTGTCGACCATATCTTGGTCGTCTATCGGGCTACCCCACACGGCAGCACCGGGGTGTCCCCATTTCAACTAAGAACCAATAGTCTCCCTCGGGTACAACTGTCCCCCTTAGTGGGTACGGAAGTTAGAGCGACCCGGGCCCAGCACATAGATAAGGCCCGTCACTACATGGACTTAATGGCTAGGGCCTATCCCCCTCTAGCCCGACGACGACAGAGGGTCGTGGATCGGACGCATCAATGTCAGATCCGAGATTACGAGAACCGCCATGCGTCCGCGGGACCACTACCCCGCTATAAAGTTCGGGACTTGGTGCAGGTACGGAAATCCGCGCGCTCCTCCAAGATCCACTCACGCTACACAGGCATTTACGAGGTGACGGAAGTTGGCGCACAAGGCCAGCACTCCGTGAAGCTGGTTCCCAGGCACAACTCGCAAGCCCGCCCGCTGACGAGGCATGCTGCTGCTCTCCGGCCTTTTCGGCCATCGCTGAATCACGTGCGGCCACCTGTCCCTTCTGAATCTTCTTCTTCTTCCCTCTCTCTTGCTTCTTCTTCTTCGTCTACCTATTCCCCTTCTCTCCGATCGACGTCGTCGGCATCCGTGGAAGACCTTGTCTCGCAGGATGAACCATCGCCAACAGGAGCATGAATTGCTCGAGCACTTCCAGCCGCCCATCTCGGACGCTCTTTTGTGGAACCGGTTCAACGACGATCGACAGCTGCGCTTCGACATTCAGCAGGTGAACGTGTTGGCACCCAACGTTGCTGACTTGGTGGTGTACTCGCTCCTTGCGCAGCGTGTGACGTACGCGGGCGTCTTTGTGGACATATGGCCAGTGCCCGGTCAGGAGTCCACGCGAGTGTTCATCGAGTTCCGAGCCATCCAGATAGTGTCAAACTTCGTGCACAGCGTTGCTACCTTTACCGGGGATTTAACCATGTTGCCAAAGCACGATCGGGAGCCAGCGTACAGGTTCTTGTGCGAATATGCTCTCCAGGTGGCTAGATCGGTGGCGTGAGTCCAGGCGAGGGGCACCCATCGCTTCACCACATACGAAGGACTTCTGCGGCGAGCTCCGGACGGAGCACTTGCATTGGTGCCGCAGCTCCCCACGCTCCTCCCTCCCGCCGAGCCCCTCAACATCCAAGCTGTCCCTCCCCCTTCTCTCTAAATGCCTCCCTTCTTCTCTTACACTACCCTCCCTTACCAACTGATGCAACTCCCCTACCCCATGCGCAACTTCCCCGAGTAACTGGTGGAGCTGACGGACGTTGAGCAGTTGTCGCTCGCTGACGAGGACGCGTGGGAGCTGCATCGGGCGCTGTATTCATCGGTGGTGCTGGGCATGTTTACGTTCTTCGTGGAGCACGAAGTTCATAACATCGGCGAATTTATGTGCGTATACTACGTATTTACCAAGCCGAAGCCGGAGCGGAAGGAGGGAACGGTGGCGCTTTATCATTTTGGGAGGATCAGGACGAATTGGTCGGGGCTCTTACAACTCATCCACATCGAGCTGCTGTCCATCGCGCAGGTAATCACCACCGAGGAAGAAGACCTGCAGCTCAGACTGTGGACCGCCTCCGCCCCGTGCAGAGCGTATAACGCGGCGGTAATACCTGATTACCTGGCGCGCGAGGGAGAGTCCGTGGTGGACTTTGTGAACGAAGATAAGCCGCTGCGGCCTCCATCATCGTATCCAAAGCCGACGGCCCTGAAGGCACCGAGAAAGAAGACCGTCCGGAAGCGGCGACGAAGTCCATCGCCGGAAGCTCAAGACAATCGGGTGAGGCCTGTCGAGGAGGTTGTCCAGCCTACGCCGGTGCGCAGAGTCGATCTGGTTCCCGAGAGAAGCGCCACCCTCATCATCGGGCCCCGGCCGGGGGAGGACTGCGCAGCCGAAGGGCCGTGGAGATCCAGAGGCCATCAGGAGCTGACACCTCAGCGGCCCCGCCTCCCCAATCTCAATAGCAATGGAGCTGGGCCATCAGGAGCAGGAGGGGGATTGGGACGAGTTCCATATCCCGCATCCAGACCCCCCCTCCTCGCAGGACCGTTCCGATTTCGCCAACCCCCTCGGGATACCCCGGTCATTGATATTAGCAGTTCCTCCGAGCCGGACGGTCCGTCAGACCGATGTTGATCACATGGTGGAGCTGGCCACCATCCGGCTTGAGGCCATCGAGGGGGCGCCGCGTCCTGATCCGGCATGGGAGGCGTTCTTACAGCCTCCATTCGACGGGTGTATAGCGGCGAGGATGGTGGGCACGCTCATCTACGAGACCGGCGGGCGACTCAATATTATGTACCATATTCTGGTCTTCGCAGCAGTTAAGCGGGAGCGGAGGCCGTACACGGAGACCCATCTGGTGCTGACGGGTCCAAGAAATCGCCCGCTGCGACGACGGATTATTCGGGCGATCGCCGATCTTGTGCCACGTGTTCTCTCGCACGTGCCGGGGGCTTTTCTTTACCCCTCCTTTGTACAGCACCACTTCAACGAAGTGGAGGTGTCGGCCAACTTGGCTGCGCTCGCAGCCTTTCTCCCTCCCCTTCATCCCCCTCTTAATCCTGAGATCGATCACTTCCTTTGATCGTCTCCATCCCCATCCCCATCCATTTCTTTCTCTTTCTTTTGCATCTTCTTCTTCTCCTGGATCCATAGTTCGCGCGATGATACCGGCTGTGAAGAAAAAAAAAAAAAAAAAAAAAAAAGGACAATGTTTCAGCAATAAGTCACTCACCGATCGGGCCAGCTGACGATGAAGGGGCCGCCCGATCGATGTATCATACGAGGGGAGGCGACAGAGGATGCAAAATGCATCCAAGTAGACTAGGAGATGATTGGGCCAACTGACGATGAAAAGGCCGGCCGATCATCAATCAAATCTGGACATCTGATCAGCAATCAGGAGATTGTTAATTTTTCAGAACCCCCTGCGCGTCACAGATGTGATGAGCCCAGACCCGTCCTTTGCGGCTTTCCGTACCCTTGAGGATAAACCCTCTGAAAGCCCCAAAGTGCGAATACGAATGACGGGGTTTTTTTGCTTTCGTTTTTGTATTTTGCTTTTCTTGAAACGACCTTTCTTTTTCTTTGAACTGGTTTTTGGGAATAAGTTTCACGCGGCCGAATAGAGGGCGCGTCGAATTTCAAGAAACGGTTAGGACTTAGTGGGGAAGGAAATGAGGAATTTCGGATTTTTGCATGCGCAGCTGCTTTTTCGAATTTTCGCGCGCCACGCAAACTCTTTCTCTTGCTTCGCATCCCCGCGCCATCTTCCTTTCTTGCTGCGCGCGCTTTCTTTGTGCAAGGACTCTTCGTCTTCCTTTATGCACGCTTGATCCCGCCTCGCCTTTGGCCGAGAACGATTGGCTGAGTAGTTGGGATGCTCGGATCAATGTGGAAGGCGCGAAAATGCACGCACCACTTGAACGATCACCCCAATCACGCAGGATCAGACGACTTCTCGGCATCGACCCTTCTCGAACCCCAGCCCTTCCTTTGTCCTCTTCATCTACAACCCCATGCTTCCCGCTGCCTCCCGCGCTATAAATTCTCGCAACCCACTCGTCCCCTCCTCTTTGATCTCGGCTGCAATGCTGCGCGAGCTATGCGCGAGGTCTGCGACGCCGAACAGGCTTGACGAGCCCATGTGACGGGCGGAGTGACGACGCGGGTCGGGCTTAGCGGTAGACTCGGGGTGTAACAGTCGAAGGGACAGAGCGGTGGTGGAGATCAGACGCCGACAGCGTCAGGGTCTTGTGGCTATGGTTGTCGGTGGTCTTGATGGATTGGGGCTGCGCCTAGTTGGGCCAACTTTGTGAAGACTTTTTTGGTACAAGGAGGACTCGCTTTTATCTCCATTCCTGCTTTGTCCACGCATGGTGTGTGTGAGGCCCCGAGTGGCGGGACCTTGTCATATGCATGTGTGGTGTGAAAGTCCATGGATGATTGGATGTCCTGTTGATTGTTGTTGATTGCATGCATATTGATGTATGCGGGTGCGTACTTATCCGAGCGGGGACTGGGGAAGGATCTGTGATAACCGTCTGCTTAGGGGTGTGATTGGGTTGACCACGCTTCCGTTAGAAATAGCACAGGAAAGGCAGTGTCACAGGGTAGACATCAGTTGTCGAGGCAGACGAGACAGGCGCCTTGTGATGCCTTGCAAGACAGCACATGAGACTACCCACGCTTTCGTAGATGTTCGGTTTGAGAACCATCTGTTTTTTCCAAACAGTCGGCAGCCCAAAGTCTGGACCCACAAATGCACTATCATAGAGGACAATACAAAGAGCACAGGAAAGGCAGTATCACAGGATAGACATCAGTTGTCCGGACGGCCGAAACAGGCGCCTTGCGATGCCTTGCAAGACAACACATGAGACTACCCACGCTTGCGTAGTTGTTTGGTTTGAGAACCATCAGTTTGTGCCAAACAGTCGGCAGTCCAAAGTCCGGACCACCAAATGCACTGTCATAGAGGACAGTAGAAAGAGCACAGGAAAGGCATTATCACAGGATAGACATCAGTTGTCCAGACGGTCGAAACAGGCGCCTTGTGACTCTTTGCAAGACAACACATGAGACTACCCACGCTTTCATAGATGTTCTGTTTGAGAACCATCAGTTTGTGCCAAACAGTCGGCAGTCMAGAGTCYGGGACCACCAAAWGCACTATTATAGAGGTCAGTAGAAAGAGCACAGGACAGTCACCATCACARGACACACATMAGTTGTYCAGACGGCCGAAACGGCGCGATGTASTCCAACACGACGAGGAAGGAAAGCCTTGTGTGTGCGTGTTGAGAACCTTCCGTCAGGTGTGGTTATCGTGTTGGATCCGATGACCAGGATACGGCAGACACAGTATCACAGGATAGACATCGGTTGTCCGGACGACCGAAACGGTGCGATCGAGTCGAACACGACGAGGAAGGAAAGCCTCGTGCGCGCGTGTTGAGAACCTTCCGTCACGTGTGGGTATCGTGTTGGATCCGATGACCTGGGTACGACAGACACCACGACACAACAAAAGCAGCAAAAGCTATTCATAACCAAGGCACAGCAAAAGCACTCCACGCGGTGTGGTTGCTGTGTTGGATCAAGTTTGGTTGTCGTGTTGGATCCAATAACCAACGTAGGTTACCTTGATACGGGCACAGCAAAAGCACTCCACGGGGTTTGGTTGTCGTGTTGGATCCGATGACCAACTTTGGTTACCTTGACCCAGGCACAGCAAAAGCACTCCACGGGGTTTGGTTGTCGTGTTGGATCCGATGACCAGCTTTGGTTACCTTGACCCGGGCACAGCAAAAGCACTCCATGGGGTTTGGTTGTCGTGTTGGATCCGATGACCAGGGCACAGCAGATGATCAGGGCACAACAAACCAACTTTGGTTACCTTGACCCGGGCACAACAAAAGCACTCCACGGGGTTTGGTTGTCGTGTTGGATCCGATGACCAGGGCGCAGCAGATGACCAGGGCATAGCAAAAAGCACTCCATTAGGTTTGGTTGTCGTGTTGGACATGACGGTCACAGTGTGCAGAAGGAGATACAGGGACCATTTCAACCCACGGACATGCTCAATGTTGACGTCACCAAGACGCAACACGAGAGACTGATCATGACCGTTGTTTTATTAACATCAACCGTTCGCAGCACAATCTTCAGAGAGAGAGATGTGGCGGGATGATTACCTGGGCAAAGGACCACGGTCAAGTCAACCAGATCACCGATTTGCGTAGTAGCAGCTTCGAGCGGCGATTCACGCAGTAGCAGCTCTGCTTGCCCCGCAGCTTTGCTTCCCCCGCTTGCGGCAGCTCGGCCCGCCGCACCGCATAAAAACTGCGCGTGCTCCAAAAACACGAGTCGAAGTACCCCCCCTCAGGAAATGAAGCTATCAGCATCAATTGGCCTACTTCCCGTCGGGGGACTAGAACGTGGCGGCCCAATTTTGACGTGGGGGGAAGGTCCCAAACCAGTTGGCCTGCTTCCCGCTGGTCGACCGGAACGCTCAATCGACACCGTCAGTCGCTCAGATCTAACGGTCCACGTAGCATGGGAGGGGATATTTTCCGGAGGAGGGTCAACGGTCCAGTACCGATCTTCTGGTGCAGGGTCATCAGCACCGTCGGTTCAACACAATCGGACCGCCGACGGAGCGCGTGGAAGGACACGCCGCAGAGTATGAAAAGAGTTGCGGGTCCCTTCCGCACTTCTCATTTCATCCTCTCCGACTTTCACGAGGGGTGTTTTCAGCGCAGGGCGATATCGGCGCTACTTTGCCTTCAGCGTAGGGCGCTTACATCGCGACCTTGTGTGCACCCCGGTTGCATACGGGGGCGCCGAGCATGCGGGCGTCGTGCATGTTTCTCATGCGTGCGTGTTTGTTTCCAATAGCTGGTGTGGTGGCACAGTCGAAGCACACGTCGGAGCAGGACCAAACCTTACCGTTAGAGCAGACCGTTGGAGCAGGGCCAGCGAGCAGGAGCGAGCGAGAGCGAGACTTTGCACCGACGAACACGAAGCGAAGGACAGAGTACGGACGGTGAGGATCTGCCCAGATCCGTGAGATTCAACGAGGGCTCGCCACGTGGCACTTTCAAGCTGTGTTCGTCGTTCATTGTCGTGTTGAACACGACGATCACATGCGAAGCACCACAGGTGATCGTCGTGTTAAACACGATGATGGACGGCGGGGCGGGTTTCATATGGACGAGCGCAGGACTGCCCTACGGGTGATCGTCGTGTCGAACACGACGATCACCCGTCGGGCAGTCCTGCGCTCGCCCAAGTCATTGTCGTGTTCAACACGACGATCACCTGCCAAGCACGACAGGTGATCGTCGTGTTGAATACGACGATGGATGACGGGGCGGGGTTCATTGAGGGCGAGCGCAGGACTGCCCTGCGACACGACGATCACCCATAGGTCAGTCCTGCGCTCGCCCAGGTCATTGTCGTGTTCGACAAGACGATCACCTGCCAACAGGTGAGGTGATTGTCGTGTTGAACACGACGATGAACGACGGGGAGGGGTTCATTAAGGGCGAGCGCAGGACAGCCCTGCGGGTGATCGTCGTGTTGAACACGACGATCACCCGTAGGGCAGTCCTACGCTTGCCCTACGGGTCGCCCATGTCATTGTCATGCTCAGCACGACGATCACCTGTCAACAGGTGATCTGTCTTCGTGTTGAACAAGACAATGAGCTCCGGGGCGGGGCGAAAATCGTTCATTATCGTGTTGGACACGAAGATTAGCTGCGGGGCATCGTCGTGTTGAAATCGTCGGGCAGTTGTAGTTTACTTTCCCACCCCGCAGCTCATCATCGTGTTGAACACGGCGATGAGCTGTGGGCCGGAAATCATTCATTGTGTTGAACACGACAAATAGATGCGGGCTGTGTGTGTGCATTTGCTGATTTTTTCAAGGGCGTTTGCCGATCGCGATGGCAATCTCGGAGTGGATGACCCCGGGACTTTGGCACGAACGCATTGCGTACCCTTTCCCCCCATGCTCGCTGCGTGTCTCCGGGTGTCGAGAGTTCACTGTTATTGACGGTGCGACGAGAAACGATTTCGAGAGTTATCCATGGATGACGGTCGTTCCGTTCTACACCACTCCCGTCGACTTGTGGCAGGAGTACGTTTGGGAGAAAATGGTCGAGGACTGGCCTTGGGCGGACGACTACAAATTCGCGAATATGTGCGAGTTCGAGAGTTTAATTCATGTGCCCACTGATGTGCTATGTTCAGTTCAGTGTCGTCACTTGAGTGCCACGCTGCTGTTTAACCGTCGCTACAATGTTTTGGACTGTAACGTCGTGACTACTTCACCGCGCACATGGCCCCGTTCGCTAAAACACGAGTTGCTCGCCTGTGCAAACCATTCCGATTTCATCGACGCATACCCCTTGCGCTCTCCCGGGTTGTTGCCTCGAACGGTTTCGTATTGTTGCGTTAGACTGCGTCTTGGGAAGTGCTTTTGTTGTAGAGTCCTTTGCGTCGTGTGCCCGAACTGGGATGGGACCTTAACTGACGCTGTGGTCTATGTGTCCACGAATGAATTGGACCTGGGTGACGAACAGCATGCCCGGACTGTGGGGAGCGGTCAAGGGTCTGGTGGCCGTGGTCAAGGGTCTGGTGGTGGTCCGAGCGATCGAGGGTCTGGTGGTGGTCACCGGACCCGCACACAAGATACACTGCGGCAAGCAGGTTCGGGGGAGAGGTCTGTGCATGCACAGGCAGATAAAGTTCCCGTCATAGACTACAAAGATAAATTCTGGATGTTGGACTGGGTGGGCGAGGCGGGGCAGGCTGAAAGTGGTTTGATGTTGTACGTGGTGTTCAGGGAAGATATTAGACCGATAGGTGGTATTCAATCTTGGGCAGGGAGGGATGGTCAGCTCGCCACTTTCGAGTTAACAATGCAACTCAACGGCAAAGGCCACAGAGTTGCAGAGACGAACCATGTTGTTCTCATGTGGAGAAACCACAAGGGATATGGTAAGTCACTTGTGGATGTTTTMAATCCTGATCCGGATAGCMGACTCCGGTTACCTGACCTCCACCAAGTTCTCGCGTTCTTCGACACGAATTCGGTGGAGGGCCATCGTCCGGTGGCCCACAAAGAAGACACTATTACGGAACCGAAAAGTGTTCTGTCATCGGCGCGTCTGACTGTGGGTGCCACAACGATTCGACATCCATCAGTGACCACGCTCGCCGTCCGAGAAGAGAGACAACACGCTCTCGTATCCACGCCGCTGGTCCCTCGAGCGGGACAAATCGCTGCCAAGGGCCCGACTCATGCTCAGGCTCCGCCACCGGCTCCGAAGAAATTCCGTTCGGTTGGAGTGAAAGAGTCGTTGTCCGTGTTACATGACATTGTGCGTACATCGAGCATGTGTGCCGAACCTATGTATGGTGCTGTGCAGCCTTTGTATTTCGGTGATCCGGGAGAGGGGAGCAGTGGCGAAGGTTCACAGAGGGAAGAGGAAGAGGAAGAGGAAGGTTCTCAAGAGGGGAAYGATARTGAGAATACAATTAGTGATCGAGAGCGTCGTGGATGGCAATCAAAGAAGATGGGCAGTGACAATTTTGCTCCCACCGGCGTATGGCGCAATCACGATTTTATGCACATGCAGAAAATCAGATCCGGCTGCGGCTTGCTCGACTCAATCCAAATGTTTCTCCATCGAGAGTGGACATAAGGACGAACGAGGTTTTTCACGAGCTCAAGGCATTGCGAAGACTTGAGTACTTGGAAGAATTTTATGACAGACAAACAAGCCAGGCATTTGGATATAACTGGCGCATTGATGAGGGCGACGAGACCGGTGGGAAAAGGGGACAAGGCCCTAGCGGTGGAGCGAATGGAGAGGGAGGTGAACACCCAAGTGGTGACGAGGGTGGAGGTGACGAGGGAGGATGTGATAAGGGAGGTGATAAGGGAGGGAGCGGTGAGGGTGGAGGAACATCTGAAGCGCCTGGGTATAGTCAGCCAACGACAGGCACATCGGAAGGGCAAGCCCATCGTCACCATGAGAGAAGCGTCAGTTGTGTAGGAGGGCACATCGACATTCGTGGTTTGCCGCAGGTCAAGCTGTCTACTGCAGTGGAACAGGTTGACGAAGGATGTAAAGGTGGGCAAAGTGTCACCACAACACTCACAGTTGTCACAGTGACAAATAATGAATGGTGTGATGGCAGTGGCGCAAGTGTCTTCCCCGTTGGCGAGAAGGGCAATATTGGTAGCCCACAAGGCCATATGTGGATGTCTATGGATATTTTGCCATATGGGTTGGGAAGCCAAGGGCGGCTCAGGGCATCATTGGATGAAACCATATATCTCGCGGAAACGGAACGGCAACTTGAGGCTCATACTCCTCTTGATGAAGAGACACTCAGAGGCGACTTAGAGATTCCTGCAAAATTTCAAAGTCCGATATCAGAGGAGAAGGCACAACGAGGGTCTCAGGAGGCGGGTACTGTAACAGGCTAACAGGAGGAAGCTATGCTTGCGAAGGAGATGGAACCGGGCGGCGAGCCTAACAGTCCAATTGATGAAGACATCCCTGGCAGCGACTTCGATACTGGTACTGGAGGGTCTCATGATTCGCTTATTATATTCGATACTGCTAGGAAGAACGACACTCTTGAGGGGCTTGTGGCAAAAGAAGCAATTCAAGTGCCGGACATCGAAGAGGATGAAGGACATATTGTACTGACTACTCCAGAGCAATAGACACCTGTGGAGAAAGGACGATAAAGTACACTTCGAACTCCTGTACAGCAGTTCAGCCCATTTGTCAAAGTGATAAACATCGCAGTTAGTATATGTGTAATATTAAGACGGTGCTGAAGGACAGTTCGGAGATGCAAAAGAAGACGGTGCTCAAGGAAACACCGCAGTTAGTCGCCGAGGTGAGCACTTACCTTACGAAGTTAATATATGTGTAATATTATATCTAGAACGAGAGATGATTTTCCGGATTTGCATGCTGCTGTGCATTGGAACTGTTCCATGTTTATTTACATATATGTAGTGTGCCTTATAGTGCGTCCGAATCGGTAAATGAAGCACACGATCGACTTTTAATAGTTTGACTCACAATACTTTACTTCTATTAACATTCATTTACATTCATGTTGTTTGCGCGGATTTGTAATGATATCAAAATGATCTTTACTCATATTACTCGTTACTATCGGTGATGATTGTGCTCTCTACATTGATGAACGTGCAGGTCTGCGTAAAGGACTATGGAAAGCCCCTCGCGTGCACTCCCAAAGGAACAGTGATAAAAAAATTATACGTCGTGGTTTGCAAGCCTTGTCAACGCTGTCGTTGTTACCCAAAACAATTAAAAGACGAGCGCAACATGTGACGATCCCGTTTGTGAGGCCAACTGCTCTAAGGATGTTTAAAGTTGTGGGAATAGGGACGAAACAAGGGAAGAAATTGCACCGTGAAGTTTGCACTGTGTCTGTTGTGGAAAGCGGCAGCGACAACGAAGTTGGCAAACAAGCACCGTCATGAACTTCGTGTYCGYTTCTTATATCTATTTTCAGAAAGGCACTACTTGTATGGAAGTCTTAGACATACCGTTGTTGTTTACCTGTGTGTTTGTATGCAGTGTCTGACCAGTCGTTCAAGATTCCTCTAGCAACGCAACCCCTCACTAAGGTCGAGATGCAGTATGTTGAAAGGGTTGTGAGGACAGGTGAAGAAAACGAGGAATACGACATTGTTGTTTACAAGGGTGACTGGAAGGTGGAAAAGAAAGACATTATGCTCATCATTGTAGCAGGAGGATGGTTGAATGATGAGGCCGTGAATTTGTATCTGCTGGCAATCCAGATCGACAATGATAATGCCAGAGAAAATTTGAAGTCTAGAGGACAGATTAAAGACAAACGTCTGAAGGACATTCCATCAGTGTATATTCTAGATTTTTTTTTCTATGTCAGGATAGCATCCGCGACGTCCAAAGAAATTGCTTACTGTGAGGGAATGATGTGGGTTAGGGGAAGAAATATTTTCGATTATAACTGTGTACTTATCCCTTTGAACTTTGGAGACCACTGGGCTTTGGCATGTGTTAGAATGGACGGTTGCAAGTGTGAATTCCAGCTATTAGACTCTCTCCCTCGCGGCGATCGTCTCGCAGCGCTGGAAGTAGTAACCGCATTTTTTAGAATGAAATTCAGACGTCAAAATCTTCATGAAAGATATCACGTCGACGAGCTTGCGACTCCTTTCGAGACATCACTTGGTTGGTTGCCTGTCCAACATGACGATTGCAGTTGTGGTGTTTTCATGTTAGGTTTTGCATCTTTGTTAGCGAAAGGTCACTTTCCATCATTCGATTTCTCGCAAGAGAACATCCCGTATATGAGGCAGAGAATAGCATTTGACATTTTGTCGATGGTCGAGCATGAGTGAACATTCCAAATACGCAGAGTTTGATATCATTCAACACTTTGTTGATGGTTAGTCACAGTTTCAAGTGCTATGTGTCATTCGACACTTTGTTCATAGTTAAGAATAGTCTCAATATTTTGTGTGTCATTGAACACTTTCTTGATGGTTAACAATTGTTTCTATGGTTCATATTGCTTTCCACAATTCTCAAATGTTATTGTGCAAATGACATATTGCTTTCCGGAATTTCCAAATTTTATTTTGCAAATGACGTATTTCTCAATCGCCAATGTTAAGTTCTCACCATTTCGCCTTATTTCATCGCTATTTTCCTCATTTATTCCTCTCTTATATGTGTTATTTTACACTTGAAAAAAAAGTGAACATGAAAACAATTTCACTTTTAACAAAAACATTGTTCTTGGTATTTACGACATTCCCATCGCTCTCCCTCCTTTCGTTTGATTCTCTCCTCTTCGTCTGTGTATGTCTGGAACTGGCGCTCTCTTCCTGTGTACAGCGTCAGGCTCCTTCACACTCGGTGATGGATATGATGCATGTTTGGTCTGCGTTCACACAATGATTGGGTTAGGCGTTAGCAGTCAGCATTCTGCTTCGCTATCGGATACTATGTGAATCAGGTCCGTCCCGGTCAGGTCAGGAATTGTATCTAAGTCTTCCCTACGCTATTCAGCATAATTTTTGTATGTATCAGAATGCACATTGCTAGTTGAGATTGTACTTGCACAACCTTGTCCATTCAGTCATTTTCATCACATTGCGGCTCCTCGGTTTTCTCTGTAAATCGCCCAACTGGGCATGTTACAAGAGTCAGAGGAGGTAGAGTCAACCATGAGATTGAGAGTGTCTTGGAGGGAAAGAGATCGTTGATTCACTCAGACCACTCGCCTGATCTGGGCAACTTTGGTTCTCCCATGTCGAGCATGGGAGTCCAAAACCGCCTCCAGTCGACAAGAGGGCAGGAAGTGAGGTGGCATAGTAGAAAGGTCTTGTTTTGACATTTCCAACACCTTTTTTATAAATTTTTGATCTCTACTTAGCGAAGCAGGTAGGTGGGCGAGGTCACAGTGTCTAGTGGTGTGGAGTCCTCGTTTAAGAGTTACCATCAAGGGCAAATGGTATTAGCCTGGGGAGGGAAGGACCTCCACCTGTTACAGGAGTGGCAACATAGAAACTGTGAGATAACAGATATCCAACCGACTAGTATGGGGTAAATTTGTGAAGCAGTCAGGGAAGTCCCAATCCATGTGAAGATAGGGTCATGCGGATTAAGATGATGAAGTGCATCTGTCCATTCTCAATGTGAGGCCATCGCAGTCAATTGCAATGTTGTAGAATTAGGTTGTTGCATTGTAGTAGTGTCTATGTCGGGCTGAAGAACTGTATTCCAATCATCGATCAGAAGAAGGCAGTCAATAGAGGGGGTTATTCCCGGTACGAAGTGAAAAAAGGTGGATCTGTGCTTTCGATCCACCGGGGCGTACACACTGTATACCCCCCACAGCAGTCCGTCCATTTCAAAAACGACCCATATCCATTTTCCTTCACAATCCCTGAAGTAGTCACGAAAGGTGATTAGCAAGTTGGGTTTAAATAATATTGCTACCCCACCTTTTGTACCAACTGCGGGTGCCCAAAACTGTGCACCACGCCACCAAGATAATTGTGCATTGATTGCTTGTCTGTTCAATTTAGTTTCCTATAAACAGACAATTGCAATACCATTATTCCTAGCCACTATTTTGATAAGGGAACGTTTGTGTGCCACCTGTCGTGTTTCTATGCCACGGATATTCCGAGATAACACTTTTATTTTATCCATTCAACTAGGACTAGGTAGGAAGGGGGAGATCGGTGAAAAAAAAGGGTGCAAACACTGCAAAGAGGGGGGAGTGAAAAAGAAAGAAAGAAAAAAAAAAGAGTGAGTGGAAAATAAAAAAGTAAGTAAAGAAGCTAGAAGAATTGTTAATAGGGAGATTGCATAGGAGGAGGCGGGAATCAGTCAACCCATTTTTGCATTATGAGTCCCGCGAAACCAGGTTCAAGAAGCTTGAACTGGGGCTGCATACAACGATTTACCTCATGCAAGAGCTCTACTGTCCACAGCCCACCAAGCTGCGTGGTGAGGGTCATGGGGTTATTCAGGGCGGAAAAATTCTGCCAAGGTATCCAACGTGTTGCTGGCATGTTTGCTACCTCCGGGCCCCCCTCGGATCGCCGAGCATCAATGAAGAGGAAGAGAAGTGATATCTCTTCTCCGTTTGGGTATATCTTTGGAATCTTAATCCATTGGACCTCAGGCCACTTGCGCAGTCGATAGCCCGTTCCCACCCATTTCTGGATCTCTGTTATGGTTTCATCTATGTTGGGCTCTGCATCACAAGTCACATGAAGTATGTAGAGCACATAGTTCTCTTTTCGTGCTGTAAGAAAGCTCAAGTCTTCCTTATTCCATGCCAAAATGAGTGGGAATACCAGGAAGGCTTCCTATCTGAAGTACGGGGGTCGCGTTATGAGGCAAGCCTACAAAAGGAAGAGCAAGATTGTCTATTTGGCAACTAATCAGAGGGTGTTAACAGGCTACTTCAGTGTGCCAACGCCACTAGTCTGAGGCTGGGAAGACAGTAGTGAGAGCCTGTGTGAAACTTGCGTGAGCCGGGTAACAGGGCTCGGAATCAAGGACCTTCCTATTCTGAGCACGACTATGGCTTTGCATGGCTACAAACCGGACTGCTGGTACCTCTAGACGCACTGGAGGCCGATGTCCGGAGAAGGTCCGTCGATCACGCCCCTGCTGAACTACAACGTAGGAAATGAAGTGAAGTTAAAAATTAATGAAGAGGGAGCAAAAGAAGAGGACATGAGGGCGAACTCAAAGCTACAGGCGGCAATTACAGAGGCAAAAGACCATGGGAAAAAACGTTGCAGGAGAGACGGTGTGACGGCGGAGATGCGGGTGACTGTCGCTTATCATGAGGCCGATACCTCAACAAACACGGTGGACAGAGAACAGACACACCTCGATAGAGACTCGTGCGGGGAGTGTGGGATGAGCGATGCTCAGAAGCAGTTCTGGCACGGCCTAGAGCAGTGGCGATGGGACCACCCGCCAGCGGAGCTAGTGGAGAGCGGTCCTGAGGCCGATTCGTGACGGAGAGCCGACATGCAATGAGACCTTGTGCAGGCAAGAGAGAAAGGGGGTCTCACGCAAAGGAGCTCATGGGTACTAAAGAGCACGATGTGCATGCACGTGATGTTGATGTCAACTTGACTTCTGCATGCGGGAACTGGTGGTAGTCGGAGGAGAAAGGGAGGAGCGGTGAGCCAGCGTGTGTGAC